GCTGCAGTTGCACCGGGAAATAACTTGCAATTTATATGCGTGCTACTTTTTTTAATTTTTCCAAAGCAAAACGCTCAACCAGATATCTGTGTGTTTGAAAGAGGATGCATTTTTAGCTCATTTAATAGCTTCACAGCTCTGTGAGCAATTCCTGCGACTGCAAGAAAGGGGATGTTCATTCAATTCATTATGGCAGCATAAGGGGCTATAGCACTTATAAGCAGGGGTAAAACGAAAATTCATTTTCCCCTAACTGCGAACTTCTTTATAGGGGTGGATAATAGAATGTTTTTTTAGCACATTTAGTGTACTACATTTCAAAATACTTTTAGTTGTACAGCTAAATACTGTTATACTACTATACTTATTTAAAAAAAAAGGAACTCAAAGTTTTCTTCCTATAAGGGAACAATAAGCTTACGAAAGTTCAAGTCTGTTATATTTATTTTATAGAACTGTACATCCAGTTCCTCGATATAAAGGTCTTATAAAATACTTGTATCCTGTTATATTTAATTTATAGAAATGTATATACCATTTTCCCGCTATAAAGGGCTTTAGCTTATGAAACTTTAGGACTATTCTATTCGATTTATACCATATCGATAAAGTTTTCTCGCTATAAAGGACTTATAAGCTCGTCGAACTTTAAGACTAAAGTTTTTCTTCTTCGGAGTTGTGCTAAAATATGGGAGCAAAAGTTTTAGACAGAAAATGTAAGTCAGAAACTTTCGCATTTTATGGAAAATATGAAACATAGAATACAAATTGTATCTACCTAGGAGCATGTAAAAAACTTTTTCATATGTAATTTACATTAAATATTTACTAGGTCCTTCGTTATTTTATTTGAATAACTTTCAATATAAATTCACTCATTTCATTATTAATTCAAAATAAATATTTAATTTTCAAAAATATACTTATAGAGTCCGAAATTATTCCATTGTCATTCGTTATGCAATAAATAATTTGAAAGCGACAACTCCTCATGTATAAAGAATTCTAATCAAATTCAATAAACAAAATAATGTCATAAGCACAATTAATGTCACTGAGCCAGATAGAAATAAAAAGTAAAAACTCCGATTTTCTTACAATTGAAAAAGACATATGTATACAAAGAGATGAAATCTTTTCAAAATCATCAGAATTCAAATTTACCCTGACTGAGAAATTTAAGATACCTGGAGTTCTAAGGGGAAAACTAAAACAAACTGCTCCCATAAATATACTTTCTTTTCGTGTAATTTATATCAGGTTTGGTGTAAGTTTTCAAATATAAATAAAGTTTGGCAAAATAATGTTGAAGAGTATTAGTTTAAAGATTAATTTTAAAGAGTAATACATTTGAATGCAACTTCAAGTGTAACACTTTTGGTTCCTAATAATTCATGTTGCTTTAACTAGAGTTTCAAAATCACAAACCAAACAAAAATAAAATTGGACACATTTATTTAATATTAACCATTTTTTTCTTCACATTTATAAAGATTCTAACTACGCTAATGTTTTATTGATCAATTTTAATTTCTATAATCAAAAAACTAACAAAGCTATAACTCGACTTTGTGAATCTATATCTATATAAATCTGCAACTTCAAAAACCGCAACAACTGGAGTGCAAAGTTAATGGACCAGAAAGCCATAGACAAATGTTCAGCTCCCGGCATGATATGTGTGTATTTTTTTAAAAGTTTACCAATTTCCCTGGAAATATGGTTATTGGGATAAGGCCTGGCCAGATCGGACAGATGTGTTATAAATTTGTTAATCTTTTTGATTTGAAGATTTTGAAAAAAATCGAAAACCTTTTTATAGTTTGTCTCATGTATACTGGCCCCCTTAAGTGTACTTGCTTTCTTTATTGTAAAATGTAATATTTGATCAGAAAATTAACTTTCAGAAAGTAAATATTTTTAACTGAAGTATATTTTTATAATGAGGAAAATAATAAATATAATTTGTATATATGCATATAGGTATACACATAAGCAGAGGCATTACAAATTTTCGTAAAAAATCCCATTGATTATTATGATTGCCAAATAGTTATGTTACTGCCAAACACAAAAAGGTTTTAAATTTGTTAGTTACTTCAAAGTCTGTGTGCAATGTGTTAAAATTTTTAACCAGAGCCGCAAATAAATTAATATCAAAGGTGTTTATTACCATTATATATTTTTCAAAATATGTAATGTTTTATCAAGAAAAATATTTAAAATGAAGTAATCTGAAGAAGTTCTGTAGGACCACCAAATACGCAACTTCTATAAAAACATAAGCAATGATAACTTAAGAAACGTAATATACAACGTTACTGATTACGTGCGATCAGAAAAATATATATATATTAATTTAATTATCATAGTCATGAGATAAAATGAGCTAAAAATTGATTTGCTCCGAATTAATATCTATAGTCAAGTCGGTCAAGATTTATGTAAAGACTGCGTTGAGTCTTGAATTTTTAATGTTATTCTGTAAAATAAGTTAGACATAGACAATTTAAAGCATTCCTATGATTGAGAACCAAAATTTAATTAAATGAATTTATAGCTGGCTTCACCTAAATAAAAGTTTGAATCATAAATCGGGCAGGCAAAGGACGTAGCTGCTCTACGATAGCAGTATAATTTATATATAGTATAAGTAGCCAGAATCCTGTCCTAAGCCACATCAAAAATTAAAGCCGATGCGTTTTAATACAAATTTGTACCTCGCTTAGATCATTCACATGTTTATATGCCTTGTTTCAATATATTTTAGTAATTTATCTTAAAGAATATGTCATTTTAACAAAATATAGGTAGTCATCGCGTTAGTCATAAATGTTGTTAGTTTTAAATAGTTAAATGACAACTTAATAGTGCATTAGGTTTGATTATTATTAGTATTATTACTTATTAATATCCATAAATTTTATTTAACCTATACAGTGAATGTAACACTATGAAATAGACAGACCCTCTTCGGCTATTATTATTTGCTATAGTATTAAAGCCTTCAAATAGTAGAAAAAAGTCGACGACTTTAATATGATTTTAGAGAACAGCTGTAAAATCTTTGCCCGGGTCCAATGACTCATAATTGGCGGCTAATTAGACTGGAGGGCAAAAGTATTTTATTTCCCCAGCACTTAATAGTGGAAGCAGATAACTTTTCTTAAAGCTTGTCACTGATAAAGGCAACAGCAGCAGCAAAGGGTAAGTTTTTCGCCAATTAACTTATAGGGCATTATATGATAAAAAGAAGGCACGCTAAATGGAATGGGAGTAAGACCCTGATTTTGGTGGAAACTAGCGACACAAAGTTGGCACTGTATTTGAAGCAAAGACAACAAGAGAGTACAATTTGGGTCAAGCCCAAGCGATAATAAGCCTCGCAGCTTACTCCCTACCTAGTATGTGAGTAGAATATAGTTAATACTCATTCGATCATCGGGTTAACTGCGCGAGATACTTGCACTTACTGCAGCATTTGATCTGCCCGGTTAATCAATCACTAAAGAATATAAAGCTTAACCGAAATTTTGTAACAAATGCAAAAGAAACTAATCAAATCGGAACTGTGGAATTGATTTTGGGCTAAAAGTATCTAACTCAACATTGGAAATAAATAGAGGCAAGAAAATGCATATCGTAGGACTTATGTATATGCAGTTTTGTGGGTCTTTCACATGTTATGTTTCTGAGTTTACATTTCAGGTCCGCCTACACACGATTTCGAACCCGTTGCTGGGCCATTAGCCACCACGAAAAAAAGAACTTCTTTGAGCACAACTAGATTTTAACATTACCCTGACCACATACACATGTTACACATTCCACTGTTGAATTACTTTAATATCTAGCAAAGTAATTAACGACAAAAACTTACAATCGAATCGATTTTTTTATTCACACGCATGCACACACAGAGCGACGGGCAGCTTACACACGCGCGAGTTGTGTGCGTAAAACAAACAAAAAAACAACGGAAAACGCCGACAAAAACGACCGAAAGCCACCTTAAAAATGGGGCATTTGCAATATATTTACATTAACAGTTTAAGACACATACGACTATGGCGTTAACGCACACTTTAATCACATTTTGAATTAGCAAAACCAACGATTTTATCAGAATTTCGCGCAGCAAACGAAATTTTGCACCGACACCTACTGTTCATCTGGTTCACGGGTGAACTGATTCCGAGAACTACTATCAGGGATGCAACAAAGAGGAATAACAGCTGTGGCCGCTGGAAAACGAAACCAGGGCTGCAATATGCCACTTAACTTATTTAAAATTTTTAAACATTATTTCGTTAATTCTTATATGTAATTTAAACTCGTTATTTTATTGAAAATTACTTACAATATAATTTCGGTAGCAATATATATATTTAAACTTTTGGTTATAACGGATGCGTTTATTTTGTAAATAACATTATCCCTTTTTAATGATATTTATATTGGATAGTTTTTGCTCACGAGCTATAAATAAACAATCCAAGCAATCCACTTATGTTTGAAAACACAGTTTCGAATATTTTATATTCATTGGCCCGTTTATACAGATTGTTTTTGTTGGAGGATAAATCGATTTTTTTGATTTCTCGGTTCACTCATAATTAAGTGCTGCCTTCTTGCAGCAATCCCATTTAAACACAAGCGGCCATAATTAAACTGACCACAACTTCTAATGTCTTTAACAATTTACACATCCTTCATGTAACTAGTTTTTAATAAAACTTCAGATATCCACAGATAGGAATCGAGAAAGCAAACGCTGACAACTGAACTAAATTCCCTTATACGTAAAATGGACTCTAAAAACGGGGGTGACTTTGCCTCCAATTCCGACTCCGGCTTATTGACAATCCTCCTGCAGTTGACATGCGCACCTCCAGCTCTCCGGACTCGTTTGAAGCTGTTTTGCCGCCCAGTCACGACATTTATTTAATAAAGTGACCATCGCCCTAACCGCATTGGATTTTAGAACACAAATCGAAGAACGTTTTTTAATATATAATTCATTTTATGATTTTATGAGCCTGCCTGTCTCCCTACACTAACATTGCAAGTAAGTAATTTTGTGTTGATGTTTTGGTAAGCAGCAAAATGTCGTTCCAAAGAAAATAAAGATTTATAGAATAAAAAGTCCGTCGTCCTTGCATTAGTTATAAGTTGGCCTAGCGATATTCAATCATGATGTGGTTATATATATTGTCTATCGTGGGTATAGCCGAATCAGAAGGTTCGGGTTGAGCTCCGAGCTCAGACGCTGGCTCAGACTCCGACTCTTGAAGGGAAGCGGTACGACCTTTTTTGAATGTGAGATTGCTGACATTTTCCTTGACCGGGGGCTTCGGTTTCTTTCCAAACGCAAAACAACCGCTCTGCTTGGTCGCTACTGGGGACAAGTTGTCCTTGTTTTTGGTGCTAAAAAGTAAGAACAATAAAATGGTTAACGATATCAAATTTTAAAACTTTTTTCTTAAATAACTTCAGGCTTGACTAAGAAAATAAACTAAAACAAGAAAGGAAGCACGCCGAAGTTTATATACCCTTGCAGATAGAACTTCTATGAATAGGAATCCATACAATATAAATTATATATATTTGTGATAAAAAACAATAACGTAACACCTGCTTTCATTTCATTCACCTATACATATTATATTTGCAGTTTTACATTCACAGATTTGCATTTTTCCTCCACATCTAACGATCGTTCGTATGGCACCTATGTGATATAGTCGTCCGTTTTTCATAATAAAATGGCTATATCTCAAATTTGATCCAATTCTATTGAAAACTGAAAAAGTTAAAATTTTTTTGTAAAAATTTTTCGATCATTCCTATGGCAGCTATATGATATAGTCGTCCGATCCGGCCCGTTCCGACATATATACGAGTGAGAGTATATAGAATGCTAACTACAAAGTTTCATTCAGATAGCTTCAAAACTGAGAGACTAGTTTGCGTAGAAACGGACAGACGGACAGACGGATAGAAGGACAGACGGACAGACGGACATGGCTAGATCGACTCGACTGTTGATCCTGATCAAAAATATATATACTTTATATAGTCGGAGGTGCCTCCTTCACTGCGTTGCAAACTTCTGACTGAAATTATAATACCCTGCAAGGGTATAAATATAACTTGATTTTATAGACCCAGCTCTGAGCTAATAAATCATTTCTGTAGTTATAGAAATCCTTAGATGCTCTTGAAGACATTATCTAACTACTACCTTGCTGGCGAAATCTATTATAGGACACTTACAACGCCTTGAGGGCCTCTAGTTTCGGTATATTCCTGTTGTACGTTTTCCCACCACCCGACGCCTCCTGGGCTGCCAACTCCTCGGGATGAGCCTTCTTCTTGTGCGTGCGACAGTTTGAGCCATTGGCGAAGGTGCGATCACAAAAGTCGCATGAGTATGGTTTTAGTCCCGTGTGCAGGATGAGATGGTTTTTGAGAGCTTTGGCTCGCTTGAACTCCCTTCCGCAGTAGTCGCACTTGTGCTGCATTTGATCGGTGTGGACTAGCCGGTGTCGATTTAATGTGGGTCGCGAGTTTAGCTGCATGCCACACTCAGGGCATATATACTTGTGCGGGTCGTGCGTCTCCTTGTGGTGCTTCAGGCGGTTGGCTGACTTAAAGCATTTCTTACACACCTCACACTCGAAAGGGGCGTAATCCGTGTGCTTCAGCACGTGCTCCTTGAGGGCGCTCATCGAATGGAGGCCCACCCCGCATTGTTCACAAATCACTGGTCTCGGCCGTTCGTCTATATGCATGTACTGGGCATGTTGTGTGGCGGATGCGCTGCTGGCGAACTTTTTGTCGCAACTGTTGCAGCCATGCTGCTTTGGCTTGGGAACGGTCAGGGGCAAGTGGCGTTGACTGTGCCGCTCCAGCTGATGGTGGGTGCGAAACTTCTTGGAGCACTCCAAGCAGGTAAACAGGTCAGAGCCAGCTGATTCGGTCTTCCAGTGATCCTGGCGCATGTGCCTGTGCAGAGACCTGGCGGTAGCATACGTTCGCAAGCATCTGGTACACTGGTGATTTTTATCGGGATCTGGATTTTGATCGAAATCCACCTCACATTTTTGGCGTCCTTTTGCTGTTGGGCCGAGGGGGAGCGAGCCAAATCCCCCTTAGAGGATGAACTATGCTCACTTAAGTCATATGCATCGCATAGTTGAACCATTACTGCATCTTCGTCGGCTTCATAGACTGGATCCTGATCGCATTCTGATGCCCCTGACTGTATCTCTTGTTCTGCGGTCTGGTCCTCATCCTCTTGTTCCCCTTCCGGTGTCAAGGGGTTTTCAAGCACTTCAAGGAGCTCCGGCTCCTCTGGCAACAAACCAACTTGCGTGCCCAACTTGAGTTTCTCATCCACGTAGTGCACTTCCGTTCCTGGCGCCTCCTCCAGAAGACCGAATTTAGAGCGCAGCTCCTGGACATTTAGAGCCACCTCCTTACTAGATGCACTCTGCAAAATGCAGAAAAGCTTCTGCACGCGGGTAATGCGTTCTGAAAAGTTAACCAGCGAAGTGACAAGCGTAAGGCACTCACAACATATCATCTCCGGCAAATCCTCCCCACGTGTTATCTAGATATTAAGGAATATAACACTAATTATTTTCAAACTCTTACCATTATTGAATCACAGCGCCACATACATTAACCCAGAAGTACTTGCCAATCGCGGTGGCCAATGAAAGATCCCCAGAAGGTGCATCTCCGTCATGTTTGAGAAAAACATTCATGTTACCCTGGTCGTCATTGGCGCAGAGTCGACACCACAGTCGCCAGTCGCTGGTGGCATCCGTTGGAACCGGCTGCTCCTCCAAATGGGCGGCGGCAGCCATCGAAGAGTTCACTAATTAATTATAAATAAACTTTCGTTCAGCGTAAACATATTGGATGCTAGCTGGGTCCGAACCAGAACTTGATTCGCTGGGTCCGAACTGGAACCAGTACTAAAGAACGTGGTGCTACCAGATCTAACGACTCCCAGTTCTTTATTTCTGCGTTCCTTTTTCCCTTATTATCTTTGTAAGAACAAAGGTTGCACACAATTTTATAAATAAGAATTTGAATAATCGTAAAATTCCCTTAGTTGAAATTCGGCTAGACTTATTCTTTAGATATTGTCACATATTGCCAAAAAATGGATAGATTGGCATCTCTGCTATCGTAACGAACAGACCCATCTCCAACAAGGGTACAAAAACACAAGGCAAACGAAAAAGAGAACGCAACGCAACCTTGCAAGCCAATTCTGGAGGACACACAAATGGACACAGAAGAAGTAAAGCGAGGTCGTGGGCGCGGGCGCGGCACCAGGGCTCGTGGACGCGGTCGAGGAAGAGGTCGCGGACGTGGCAAGAAGATTGAAGACAGCAATGTTGCTGGGTCTGCTGCCGCTACCGGCTCCTCATCAACCCTGGCCACCAGCAACAGAGACATACAAGAGGCACCAATGGATGCTGTTATGCTTGATTTGGACAAAGAGGGCGGCGATATAGAGTTGGTCAACTCACCACCTACAGCCGCAGGAGCAATGGATGAAGACATCGCGCCTTCAGAGCCTCAGCAGATGTTACCGCCTCAGCAGATGCAGCAGGTTGCCCCGCCTGTGCACAGCAAGACAAGTACGTTAGATTTTCTCTTCAAAGGCGAGCCATTATAAGTTAAAGTTGTCCCTCTTTATTTGCAGTTGACATGGAGGCGGATATATCGCAGCTAGAAGCCCCAACATTCACTACATTGTCGCGTGGGCCACCAGAGCCAATGCTGCGCTTGAAGTGGAACCACAAGGTGAGCCTTATCGGCGAAAAGGTGCTCAATCCGATGATCCACTGTTGCGATCAGTGCGACAAGCCGATCCTCGTCTACGGTAGGATGATACCCTGCAAGCATGTTTTCTGCCTTAAGTGCGCCCGAGCCGATCCCATAAAGAACTGTCCCCGGTGCACGGACAAGGTAATACGCGTGGAGCAAAGTGGCCTGGGCACCGTTTTTATGTGCACTCATGGTGGCAGTAGGTATGGTAGCTCCGGTTGCCGACGGACTTACTTGTCACAAAGGGACCTACAGGCACATATTAACCACAGACATGTAGCGCCTCAGGTATCGCTTCAGCCACTGCCCCAGCTTGCTTCCATGACGGAACCTAAGCTGACGGATCTAGGCGGCGTGAGCCTGGAGTTGCACAAGCAGCGCAAGGCGAGTGGTAGCTATGGCTCCTAAACTAAGCTGTCCTGTCTATAAAACCGCTTGCCCTTGCAGCTCTCCGAGTCGTCTGTCCCCACATCAGCCACCGTTTCCCGCCCTCTGTCACGCCCTCCTGCCGTCCTTGGAGGCATCGGTACTATACCACCGCCAGGAACCGCCGCCACTCAAAGCGCTATCCATGGGCATTCTACGTTAACGCTGGCGAATCTGGCAAGGATTAACAACGCCAACGCCGTTGACTGCCACCAGGGAAAGGCCTCGTTACACCAGAGCCTAAAGAAGGGTCCGCCCCACCAATCCGAGTCTGTGGCAGACGCCTCATACTACAGCAGCGTTCTTGCTTCTTTTGGGAGCGGTTCAGGCCCTCCAGGCCTTCCTTCCGGTCAGCCTGCTCCTGGCAATTCAAACAATATCGTTTCTGTCGCTGGCGGCCCAAGTTTAGTTCAAGGAGGCTCCACTGAGATGGCAGTGGGCGGGTTAAGTGGGAACTGGCAGAAATCGCAATACTACAGGTGAGGGACAGATGTACGACCCAAGTACAGGGCAGGAGATTTTTACGCAGGCACGGCTTTTAATTAAGTGAACTACATTTGTACATGTACTTTAAGAGGAAAATAAAATGAATTAAATGGGGATTTATTATGCCCTAGATAAGTAGAACAATGAGTTTACTTAACATATGAATTATTATGCCCTAGATGAGTAGTACAATGCGTTTATTTAACATACAAATTACTTACAGATGAAAGCGAAATCAGATTTGTTTTCAATTCGTAATTTACAAAAAAAATCTACTTCTGACATGAGACACAATCAGTTTTGTAATTTTTGTTGCTCATTGCAATTTGGAAAGTCTATATTTATTCGTGTCTGAATTTTTTAAATCACAGATTTGACGTTTTCTGAAATTTCAATGAGTAGTTAATTCAGCATTCGCTGTTCTTGTGGGTATAGATATTATTGAATTTTTAGCCAGAGACCAAGCAAAGAACAAGGTACATATTAAAAACAATTTATATATTTAAATCCTTGTTTGTCAAATTGTCATCAATGATGGAACTGTTTCTAGTATTTATTTAACAGCTCTGCGAGCCTGGACCGTAGTTAATTTATTTAATAATTATAGTATATTTTGGTATATTTTATCACTTTAGTCCTGGTCACACTGTCAGGAAAATACAAAGTAAACATTCTGAATAGGAATGTTAAATAAATTCAAGTTCGTTTAGATATTTGCATCAACTCAATGTACTCGAAATCTATGTCAGAGGCTTAGGTCGTCTGGGCAAAGAAGCCCGTTAAGCAATTCGCTACACTTTATCGTCGGCACGTCTAGGAGGCAGATGCTGTTGTATCATTGGCCGCCGCTTTTCAGAAGTGAAAGTTTGCAAACAGAAAAATGCTAAAAATTGTGCTAATCAGTGGCAAGCGAAAATGTGGAAAGGATTACTTATCCGAGAGATTACAAAAGCGGTAAGAATAGCACCAATCAAATTTGATTTGGTCTATGAAATGCAAAACAAGCTTACTATGCAGGGTGTTATATGTATGTACATATGTATATTTACCCGACAGTTTGCAACGCAGTGTAGTCTGGTGTAGTCATTTCCGGGATTATAGCTATAAGTTATAACTTTTTATCTCTCATCCAATTATTTATCCATATGGATCGAAATTCAAGATATGTTACTATTAATCTATTTTATAGATTAGCGGGCCGATCGCAAATCGTTCGAATCTCAGAACCCATTAAGTCAGAGTGGGCCCGAAAGCTTAATCTAAACCTTGGTGAGTTACTGAGCGATGGACCTTATAAAGAAAAGTACCGTCGTGACATGATAGAATGGAGTGATGAGGTCCGCGCCAAGGATTACGGCTATTTCTGTAGACTAGCCATGGAAGATGCCCTCGCCCACCAGGACACTCCCTATGTGTTGGTCAGCGATGTCAGACGTAAGAACGATATCAAGTGGTTCCGCGAAACTTTCAGCCAGGACAATGTTCTGACTATTCGCCTCACTTCCCGCCCAGAAACACGATGTGCCCGGGGTTGGATATTTACTACAGGCATTGACGATGTGTCATCAGAGTGTGATCTAGATGATTTTGATGGGTTTGACTTTATAATTCCCAACGACGATAATCTTGATGCGGAGGCAATTGATCACTTGCTAGACAAACTGGAACTGAAGTATAAATAGTATATATGTATTCTCGTTAAATAGTTAGTTTCTTTTTACAGAGAATAAAGTAAACCTACAATGTGCTCCAATAAGATGATTTAGTCCTTTAAAGAAACATGATGTGGATCTTTACTGTTCAATGTTAGCTGCAATTTTGTAGAGTAGTTTGAGAGTGTATCAAGGGGGAATATGTCATCTGCATAAGTCAGTAGTATTATGCCGACTGTTGTTTTTGGGCTTTGTCTATATTCAGGGATGACATGCAAGTAAATGTTATATAAGAAGGGGCCTAAAAGTGAACGTTGTGGGTCCCCCGCTGTTATATTTCTCCTTATGGAGTTTTCGTTATTTGGACTTGTTACGTGATACGTTCTATATGTTAGGTAATTATGTGTTATTTATCCAGACAGTGTCGGAGGCTTTTTCAAAATCGAGGGCACATGCTATTCTTCCTTTTTTTTTATGGATGTTGTAATAAATGAAATACTTTGCTCTGAGAAAAGCGTTGCTGACAGATATACCTTCCCTAAAGACAAATTGGCCTACATTTAGAATATTGTTTACTTCAAGATGATTCTTTATGTGCTTTATTAAAACTTTTTCGAAGAGCATTCCTATGGCTGAGAGAATGGCTATTGGTCGATAACTTTTAAGGCAGTTATTCGTGTTCGGCTTTTTAAATTGGTTTTTCCGTTTTCCACTCTAGGAAAATACGAGCAGTTTATACAGTGGTTGAATATTTTACATACATATGTATGCTATTACTGGCATGTTTGACCATTTTAATAAGAAATATCTGGTTCCAGCAGCTCGAAGTACCCAGGCCAGAAAATTGGATTTCTTTTCATTGTTCTGCCGTGCCAAAATTTTATATCCGTGGGCACGTAGCGGCTCTTTCAGCTCCCCGGCTGTTTCCATTATTTTTGAATACCTGCGTTACCGAGCGATCGTTCGCCCGCACACTAGATATGCAAAAACATCGATGTTCACGGACATCGATGTTTTCGATGTTTAAAAAAAAAAACATCGAGTGAAACATCGATGTTAAAAAAAAAAACAATTGGAATTTAACAATATGACAACAACAACAATATTTTATTAGAGATCTGAGATTTCAGGAGTATCATTAGAGGTATTGAAATGGGAATTCTTGTTAAGAAATAGAAGCTTGTCAACAGCTTCTGGAGACAGCCTTGTCCTGCGGTCGCTAATAGTTTGTCCAGCCTTGCTGAACACTCTTTCAGCTTCGCAGGACGAGGCTTGTATACACAAGTATTTGGCTGCTACCAATTTTAATGAGCAGTCATCAGTACTCATCTATAAAAAAAATAGTTATTTAGCATTTTTCGCATAATACTTTTAAAGTCTTACCTCCCAATATTTTAGTGGGTCTCCATTTTCTCCAAGGTTTTCCTTTTCAATGTGCTGCCTTAGTGCTATTATCGCATCCGCACGGCTTGACTGCACCTTTTCATTAGTTTTGTTTTTTAAAAATGTGAACTTGCGTGGTTCTTGTTCTGAGGTTGGTGTTGGTTGACGTCGTGGATGGATGGACATTGCGAACACCGATTCTTGCTCCAACGCTTTGGCTGCGAGATCTGCATTTGAAGACTTAAGAAAGGCGTCCTTTTTGAAGCGGGGGTCGATTAGAGTTGCGATCCGAGGTGCTGTTCGGTTTTCAAAGTTGTCTAACCTATCAACTAAACGTTGCTTTATATAGTCATGTACTAATTTCCCTTCAAGCGTGCTTGTATTGAATTGATTCATTTTATGATGTATCTCTGTAATAACTGGAATGATTAGCGATACGGAAACATTTTTGCTAGTTGAGATCGATAGTGTGGCTTCATGAAAAGGTTGCAGCATATCGGTTAGCTCATTTAAAACTTCGCGTTCGTCTTCAGTAATCGGCGCCGGTGCATTTCGCAGTTTTACCAAAGTTAACGTAACATATTCGTTCAGTTTTAACAACCTTTTTATCATTTCATAAGCGCTGTTCCATCTTGTTGGTACTTCCTGTATTAATGTAAGCGGCTCTCCAGTTGTCTGTGCTTCTTTTAACTTTGCAGCGGCTATAGTGCTTTGTTTAAATTATGTAACTATTACCTAGCACTTACAGACAATTTGAATAACAACATCCATTTTCAAAACATCTTGAACCAGTAGGTTTATACTATGTGCCAAGCAGGGCAAATGTTTGAATTGTAAAATCTCGCACGCTTTCTTCATCGTGCTATCATTGTCCGTTGTGACTGAAACTACCTTTGATAACAAACGCCACTGAGCCAACACCACTTTAATTGAATCCGCAACATTTTGTGCGTTGTGATTCGTAGGCGTTATCGAAGGAGCTGTCGACAACACTGCAGAGTTCAACTTAAAATTCTCGTCTACGAAATGGCAAGTTATAGTAATATAACCATCGTTTCGTGAAGATGTCCAAAGATCCGTTGTTAAACTAACGTAGTTTACCTTATCCAAAACGGCACGCACTTTGCACTGTAGCTGATCATATTCCCGGGGGAACACTACATCACGGAAATATGATCGGCTTGGCAATTTATAGCGGGGGACTGCTTCTTGCATGAGTTCCACAAAACCTGAATCTTGCACGCAACTGAAAGGGCGCACGTCTTTGATAAGCATGTTTATGTCTTTCTGATCAAGTATCTTTTTAATTGCTGAGCCATTGCCATAGAACGGCTCCTTGTTTAAAAAGGTTGCCATCGTTTTAGGCATTTCTCCCCTTTCAGTGCTCAAGCGGCTTTCATGCATGCGCTTGAGATGGTCAAGCAGGTTTGTGGTATTGCCACCGGTCTTCAGCCATTTACCGCAGTAGTTGCAAATGCCATGTTTGTTGTCGGTACTTTTTTTAAAGTGGTCCCATACAATCGGACGCTCTCTTTTCCGCTTTGCCTCCGTCTCCAACTCTAAAGATTTTGATGATATTTCTGAATATTTTATCAATAACATAATAAAACAAGGTCTTGACGCCATTTTTTTGCGACATGACTTAATTTTGCACCAAATTTATAAATGCACATGTTTATGTGTGTAAGTAAATTTGCAGCTTGGACTGCAAATGATTAAAAACTTACTTTTCAGGTAGTTGTCCATCCTGCATCCATCCACATCAACCAACACCACGACTAGAAACCCTACATTAAATTAGATATTTAGTTAATTATATAAAAACAATTAAAAACTTTTCTTACTTACAATTTATTTGTTTGCGGCCACCAAGCCAAGAGTTAAGTGAAAAAAACATCGATGTTTCTGCACCTCTACCGCACACCGTCTGGCTGCGCTTTTACCCTTCGGCCCACGCACAATGTTCCGAGCGGCTCCCCCGAAAAAAGAAAGAGCCGCGGGAACTTAAAACCGCACTGCGTTCCCGGATGGGAATAAGTTTTAGTTTTCATAATCCATTTATTTTTTTCATGCTTCCATTATTTAGGAAAGTAAGAACAGTTACTGTAATTACTACGATGTTTAAGTATTTCAGTAAGAAGTTACTAGTTCCATCAGGACCCATGGATTTTTCTGTTATTTAGTAAACGAGTTTTACCTTTTTTAGTAAGATTTGTATTGCATGATAGTCAGATGGATAATCTTTTAGTACTATACAACCTTTTTGTAAGTTGTTAGTTAAAGCTGCTATTGTGGAAGTTATGAAAAGATCTATGGATGAGTCTTCTCTTTTATTCGGACGAGTTGGTTCATTTGGCGGACAAATGTTAAGTTCAGGAATATTGGTTATCCAGTTAAATAAAATTTTCCCTGCACTATATATGTGTTTATTAGAAAAGCTTGGTTTGTTATATTTACAGAGTGAGTGAAGTATTTACATATGTACATGGGGGGGCTTATATTATTGGTACATTAGGCCATCTCTTGGATTTAGTGATCTATTTTTCCTATAGTAAAAAATTAAATTTTTATTTTCGTCATAGATATTTTTTGTTTTTAAATCTTCTAAATGATTTAATGTTAACAGTTTAATAGGGTAGTCATAAAGTATTTCTGTTTGTTCAATGCTATTGTTTGTTATAAAATGTTCTACAATTTTGAAGGCTTGTTCGTCAATTTTTGTTGTTTTTGTTCGTTTATATATTTGTTTGTTTGGTACAATGTTTCTGTAGTTGTTGTCAATAGCTTTCCTGAGTAAGATTCTTTCGTATCGTCTAAGTTTTTCCATTTGGTGGGATTTAATACTCATCCATGCTGTGTGTCCGTACAGAAAGATTGGTTGGATTAGTTTTCGGTATGTTAGTATTTTAATCTGCTCTAGTTTTTTGTTTTTGTTATTGTTCGTTAAGAATATGTGTTGAATGTTTTTTGCTCTTTTTTTGCTTTGTTTAATGTGTTATCTATATGTGATTTAAAATTTAATTTTTCGTCATATGTGACTCCTAAATATTTTAATTCTTTGTTGAATTTGATTGGAATATTATTGTATATGTAAAGTTTGGGTTTGTAGTGTCTTGAATTTTTGTATAGATTACTAATTTTTGGCCCTCTGAAAAAGCAGCTGGTGCATTTTTCACTATTTTACTTTAACTGCCATCTTGTAAAATAATTTGATAGCTTGTCTAAGTATTAAGTTCTACTTCTAGACTCGCGGTGTGGCCACCAGAGCCGAGAAGTAGTATGTCGTCTGCGTATGTTAGCTGAATTATGTCGACTGTTGTTTGCGGATTTTGTGTATACTTGGGTAGATCATGAAGATAAATGTTATACAAAATTGGTCCTAGGAGTGATCCTTGCGGTACTCCTGCTGTTATATTTCTTACAATGGAATTTTCTTGAGTTGGGCTTGAGACATGAAATGTTCTATTTGTAAGGTAAGTATGAGTAATTTTTAGTAGGTTTTGGTTAAAATTTAACAGTTTCATTTTATATATTAGTGCATTTGTCCAGACTGTATCAAATGCTTTTTCAAAGTCAAGGGCACACGCTGCTGTGCCTCTTTCCTTATGGATGTTTTGATAAATGAAACTGTTAGCTTTATGAAAGGCATTATTTACTGAGATGTTCTCTCTGAAGCCAAATTGGCCTTTATTTAGAACATTATATTCTCGAAGATGTTTTT